AGGAAGCAAGGCGCTAAATATACCCTAGAAGTGTCTCTCTCATATATATATATATACTGTAATGGAAATTCTGCTAGGCACTGAAACCGAAACATACAAATAAACAACACAATTCAAGACGTAAGGCCTATGTAAACACAAAACCCTGCGGCCTATTTCAAAAGATACAGTATCCAAAAAGAACCAAATCTTTACATATATGTATACACACATGTATATGTACAGTTATACATACATACCTACATACCTACATACCTACCTGCCTACAAACATACAGTACAGGCATACATACAAACACACATACATAATCATACATACATACATACATACATACATACATACATACATACATACATACATACATACATACATACATCTATGTGGTATACATGTCCACTAATATATTTTTTGTAGGGACAATGTATCTGTATACTAAGAACCTCAACTCCCGACTTTCAAGCAGCTCCTCCCAGCTCCAATTGCCCGGGCAGACTCCTGGCCTTTTCTTAGAGCCCTGTGCTCGGAGGTTCATCGGTAGCTATGGTAAGTAGGGCTCGGGATAAGTAGGGCTCCTTTCCTCGTGTATAAGGAGTTTAGGGTTTAGGGTAGTTGTAGGCGGGGGTTATAAGTAGGATAACCATAATTGTAGCCCATTTTGGGGGGGCGACTTGTAACTCCACTTATAAACCTAGAATGAACCTCCAAGTAAACTCTAGCCGAAAACGCCTTGCAAGATCCTAAGCTCGGACCATTTCCGGGTAGAGAGCCTGGCCGAATCTGTAGGATCCGGGAGTTACGATCTGCCAATCGGGGTGTCTTTGCTGTTTCTGAAATCCTAAACCCTAAACCCTAAACCCTAAACCTAAACCCTAAACCCTAAACCCTAAATCCTAAACCCTAAACCCTAAACCCTGAACCTCGAACCTGAGAGCCGATAATGTAGGGGCCTTAATTTTTAGAATAGGGGTTGCTATAAGGGGGGGTTCTGTAAGAAGGGGCCTGAATGATTTCAATAGGGCTGTGGGGCCCAGTATACTATAATCCCCCAAAATACGACTGATAATTATTTAGGTCCCTACATTAGCAGATTTCAAGAACACCTCCTGACTCACACCCTTCTGGATTCAATGATGTTTTGCTCTTCCCAGGCCTCAATCTTCTAGAGACTCTGACGCCTGTATTCCGGAGTATTCCGGATCCTCATTTTCAGGAACTTCTATTCAAAAAAACACCGGCTGTCTTGCCCCGCCTGCATGGACCTCACGCCGAGGTCGCGCCAAAAAGCTTCTCAAAGCGTTGCCAGGCCTGTGGCAGGCAGTCATCAGAAGCGAATGCTTTGAGCCCGGCGATCTTACTGCAACTACGGGATGGAGCTTTTGAAGAAAAACGCGCTGACATGAAGCGCAGAAGATAGATCATTACAATGAGCCGCGAAATCGCGTCAACAAGCGTGTGTATACAGTTGCACACGCACAATCGCTGATAGATATAGGACTATCGAACAACATGCAGCTAGGGATCAAATCTTAACGATAGAAGGGACTCGGGCTTTGCTTACCAGCCCCTCTCGGATGTCAACACGGGCGTGTGAGCGAGCGGAACATGCATTTTTTGGAGACTCGATTTTCGTTATTCGATACAGCAATGTAGAAGATGCAATGTGGCAGGCAGAGCATGTATGCATGGCTGTATGTATGCATGTATGTATGTATGTATGTATGTATGTATGTATCTATGTATGTACGTATGTATGTATGTATGTATGTATGCATGTATGTATGTGTATGTATGTGCTCCTGTATGTATGCGCATCATGTGTAAGTGTTCACACGTGCTTACATGCATGTATGTATGTGTATGTATGTATATGTGTACGTATGTATCTTGTATGTAAGTGTTTTCATGTAGGTATATAAGCATGCATGCATGAATGTATACATGTATGTGTGTTGTAGGTATGTAGATGCACATGTATATGACCTAGATATGTCGGGAATTATCTCTTAAAAGGCAAAAAAGTGAACATGAACCTATAGCGCAACTGAGAACTACATAAAACTGTAGACGAAAAACAGCGATAACACATATATGTATATATATATATGTATATATATATATACACACACGTTTGAAAGAGAGAGAGAGAGAGACAGTGTGTGTGTGTGTTTATATATCTACACACGCACATATATATATATATACACACATGTAAGTAAGTATGTATGCATGTTTGTATGTATGTATGTATGTATATACATACATGAATGTACATTTCTCTGTATATATATATATATATATCATAGACACGAACACGGGCGCACACACACACACACACACGCACTCATCCGCCTTGGACTTGTTTTTCCCAGCCGGCCGGGCAGTCCAGGCCTCTCACGAGCCAAACAATAGCGTGCATACAGCAGCGGGCAGCTCCGAACAAGATGCACGAAGCATGTATCTCCTACCTTAGCGTGATGATCGGCTAGCGTGATGGTAGGCGTGCCAGAATCGGGGCCCAATTTCGTGGTAGAGCTGCCTATAGTCCAGTATTGCCCAGCATGTGGAAGGAGCACTGTAGCCAGGCCAGCGCAGCGTCAGCTACGTCAACATCAACGTGATCGTTTACCCCGCAGCATTGCCGCAGCATCAGCGTCCTTCACCAACGGCACCAACATCATAGTCCTCCTCCCCATAAGACCATAATAATCTCACGTGCAGAAGCTACAATCAAGAGTGAGATCGTCAGCATCCTCCCCACGCGGTGCTAGAACTGAACTGAACGTACCATCCTCTCGAACAACAGCTTCATCACACGGTACGCACACGAATAGTTCCTGCCGCTTGCCCTACATAATATGATATAATTCTGCAATATAACATAAAACCTGATATGACATCGTTCTTGCAAATGTAAGATAGTACGAGCAACTTGCGCTGGGATCTCCGACGCTCACATCCGGGGGCTTGGATGCCTGTGCAGAGAGATTGCAGACGCTTCAACAGACAAGCTTCCATCTCGCGTGCAGATCCCACAAAATCCTCTTGTTGTACTTATATCGTGGTGAGTTGCAATATATTGTTTTAAAGGAACCTACACTGTACCATCCTCTGTTATATTAAAACATGCTGTCTTGTGCCATGTTGTCTGTGTTATATCACGTATCATGTTGTGTTGCATTATGGCATACCTTATTATGCCGAAATTCATCATACTATATCATGATGCGATAGGTGGCTGCGTAAAGTCCTCGCTATGTGCCCTGTATCCCGTGACTGCTTTATCGCCTTATCGCATTACAAGGCATGAAGACTGTCACTTATGACAAGTACGCGGAACAGGCTTGGCTCTTGGTGGCTTGCAGCACCGTACAACCCATCTACAGTTACGTATCCCACGATGTCCATAAGTCGCAGGAACCGGTTGCCAACACCTCAACGCGCTAGCTGGATGGCTCATGTCCTTCAAAAGGCACCTCTGCCAAGCCAACATCATCGTTTTGTTATCATCGTTTTGGACACTCAACTTGCGTCGGATTTCGGAGGTTTGATGTAGCAAGTAGCGAAGCTTCAGTTTGCAGAAGTGCCGCCTGTAGCGAGCCTCAGTTGCTGCGCGTGCAGCTTCGATAGGTCTCAGTTTGCACATAGCAATAGCAATTTTAGTAGCAAGAGCCGTCGGAGCAGTAGAAAGCAGCCGTAGACCGCCGCAGTAGCGGCAGCAGTAGATGTAGCAGTAGGAGTAGGAGTAGCATTGACAGGAATAGTCGCAGTACCAAGAATACCAATAATGTAAGAAGTGCTAGTACAAGTAGCACTTAATACTAGTAACTAGTAGTAGTACTCAGAATGGGAGTAGTCATAGTACTCATGAAATTTCAATCGTTATCGTTTTGACACTACACCAAGGGCATCCTAGACTAATCTACAAGAACCCCCCTCATTATGCAACCTCAGATATGCCTGTTATGAGAAAAGAGGTTTGTTATTCCCCTAATCTAATAACCGTATACTCTCCCCAAATACTAACCTATAGAGAACTACTATCCGTAACCCAAGTACCTTATTCTTTGGTCCTTTGGACCCTAAGGGTTCCACCACACAAACCAAGAAACTCAAATCTGTCAGCCCTGGCCTGTGGTAGCTTCTTGGGTACGGAGACTGATCGGCTCGCGGCCTTTTTCGTGCGGAGGGGGGGGGGGGTTGAACAGCTAGTGATATCGGTTTGGGGGGTAGGGGCTAGTAGGTTTAGGGTGTAGAGGTAATTAGGGGGTTAGGGTTTGGGGTTTAGGGGGGTCCGGGTTTTCGGGCAAGAGGCTTTAGGGTTTGGCTCTCTCTCTCTCTCCCTTTCTCTCTCGCTTCGCTGAAAGTAGAGGTTCTCTGCCTAAGGGCAACTTCAGATACTGGGTAGAACGGAATGCTCCGGCTCTCTTGAATTCGCGCTGCTGCAGATTCGCAAAGGGCTCCCCGAAAAATCGGTCCCAACTTGTGTGCGATGCGACACCCGGGAGGTCCCGCAGTCCTACATAATTTTACATAATGCTAAGTCAGTCTGCCTGAACACACTCGAAGCATATATCCCAAGCATAGATTCACAGATGCTGACTCGCTTGCACACGGAATGCGTGCAGGAGCGAAGGCTACATTCGGGGACTTGCATCATGAAACGCATGCTCGCTGAGGAGGCTCACTCCAGGCCTCACTCAAGGCCCTAGCCCAAATTCGAAGCGCAAACATATTGCAAACCCCTCCCCGAGCCCCCACTGTAAGCCGAAGACGCAAGACTCCCCAAACCCCAAGTCTCCAAGCCCGAGGTGCCCTAAGCGCTCCAAGGCTACCCTAAACTCCAAAGACTAAGCCCGCGAAGATGGTGAATTCAGACTTTTCTGCGTGCCTTGGACGGCAGCTGCACGACAGGGCCCGGCACCTTTGGCCTGGTAAGACAGCGTCGAAGAGCACGGAACGCGGACGTGTTCTTCTTATGCTCGCTTGATATTGGCTTGTATCAGTACTTCTGCTGTCTGTGCTGCTACTGCTACTACCACCACAAATATTACTTCTACAACAACAACAACTACTACTACTACTACTACTACTACTACTACTACTAGTACTACTACTACCACCACCACTAATATTACTCCTACCACTCATACTTTACCTACAACAACAAAAAACTGCTA